GGTGTGTAAATGAAGGTTTACTTAGTAGCCATAGTCTGAAACTGCGTAGTATATGTTTTACTCTTATTTTTGTGAATTTCTGTGGCAACGCCGATATACAGATTGTAGTTCAGGTAATTTTAGGAAGTTTTTGGATGCTGTTCAGAAATTTTGTGTGCCACAGACTGAAGACAAACGAATTTCTAAATAAGGTAAGGAGATATTTGCTTTGTGTATTGCTAAAATACTTAACAGGTTTTTCCTTTTTTGTGTTATTTTATTGTTTAGTTTAAAATGTAGTTTATTGAGATTATGTATTTTTTGTTTGCCTCTGCTGTAGAACTGGATACTCCTTTGACTTTTTAAGTGAAAATATGTTGATGTGTACATTTACAAACTGAAGGGAGTGCGTAAAACATAGTTTGTGCAATTCTCTGATGTTTTTTAAGTGAAACTAGGTCGATGTGTACATGGATAAAGTCAAGGGAGTGCACAATGTCATTTTTGTGCAATTCGAGGATTTTTTTTAAAGTGAAAATAGGTCGATGTGTACATGGGTACTGAGTTTGTGCAATTCTTTGGGCTTGAGTAGCGCCAATTTTTGTGCCAAAAATCGCCGCTACACAGGTCAAAATAAGTCAAAGAATTGCACAAACTTGGTATCCATGTACCGCCAAGTTTCGCCAAGGGGGATCCTAAAATATACTTTTACCTGTATATTTATTTTATTTAACTTTTTATATAATTATTATGCTTCCATATGTATCTAAAATGTATTACAGTTCAAAGTCTGTAATCCGGACGTCCATTATCCGGAATGATTTATAATCCGGACATCGAAACCGCAAACTTACACATGTGCATAATGCGTTTATGCATGCGCGTTCAATGCGTGCGTCCGCTATGCATGCGCATAAAGCGTTTACCCATGTGCGCTTCTGATAGTGAAGGGAAGTGGGAGAGAGGTTATTGAAAACAAAAAAATTTCCATTGACAAGTTAGTCGGTATTCTCGACACAGCAATTACAGGACTTGAACAGTGAAACTTTGTAACTGAACAAGAAATTATGTCTGTTTATAGAATTAAAGAGAAAGTATTAGCACAAAAAATGAAGCAACTTAAACAACTTACATTGAAAGAAATGTTTAATAAAGTAAACAAATAAATATTAAGCTTTTTTTTTTTATAAATATTGATACCCTTTAGATCATAATTGCTCTTTATTTCATAAATTACAGTTTCATATTTTAATTGTATAATTTCTGCATGCCATCTTACCAGATTTAAATTGCTGATCTATAATCCGTAAAAACCCCTAGTCCGGAATCGCCGAAGTCCCGACAAGTCCGGATTACAGACTCTGTACTGTATTAGAAACTACTTTATGTAATTAAAGTTTAATAGTGATAAGTCAATGCAATGAATGTTATACGTAAAACAGTTTTCAAAGTAAATTTGCATTTTACATGGAAAACAAGCCAAAAAAAAAAAAAAAGTATCTCTTGTTTCCATAACACAGTAATAAAATGAGCTTATGTAAAATACCTTCCTTCTTTATGAAAATCTGCTCAGAAATTTAAGATTATCTTACATTTTGGCTAATAATGGTCTTTTGTAATAAGCTGGTAATTTTTATGGTATTGATAAGGTAAAAAAAAAAAAAAAAGTTGAATCTTGGTGGGAAAGCTATCTTGTACCACTTAAAAATATCATTTAGAAAAAGTATCATCTAGAAATGTTTTGCAGGGGTGTGAAACTAATGTTGCAATATATGTATTTAATATATCTATATATAAATCTTAGCATCCCTTAAATAGGGCTGCGCTTTACAGGAGTATATCTATATATACATTGGTAAAGACAAAAAGTAAGAAATTAAAAACCTATTTTACATAAAGACCTCAAAAAGTGAAATTCAGTACCAATAAATTTTAAAATATCCTATAAATATGCGAAATAAGAATTAAAGCAATGTGAAATTCAAACGTAAAAATTCTTAAAACCTGAAAATATATACCAAAACCAGAAAAATAAAGAAGAGCAACTCAATCAAATGTGATGTAACGTTATCAAGAGTAGGATACTTCAAATTAAATTACTACTTCCAGCAAAAAAATAATTTCTCTGTTTAGGATTTAGTTTTATACAAACTACACTCATTATATTAGATGATTTAATTCTTATAAATTTTTGAAATTTGTTTGACATTTGTACTGCTCTGTTTATACAACTAATTGGATAAGAGACCAGTGGTCTATGGAACGTTTTTATGCTTATATGTGGTTGTAACAAAAGTTTTCCGCCAAAAAACTTTCTTAATAAAGTTATGGAAAAAACATGAAAAGCAGTACCTTTAGCGCAGGTAAGTAATCATCACCCAAATCTCTGATTTTCTGCCAACAATTTGGTAGTTTTTCAAAGCCTTCGGCTCAGAAACTTTGTGGCCACGAGTCCAAAAACAGATGGAAGATAGCACCAGCAAAGTATAGCTGCAGGTGTGAAAAAAGGTAGAAGTCTGAAGGAGGGATGTTGGGCCATATAGTGAATGTGGCAAAAGATACCATTTGAGTATGTATAGAATCCAGCCGTTGAATGCAGACACATATGGTCTTGCATCTTGATGAAACATTAACTTTTTGCGCTGGAGCTCAATTTGATATTTTCCCTTAATAGCAGCATCGACATGGACTAGCATCTCGCTGTACACCTTACTGTCGAGGGTTTTACCCTTTTCCAGATACTCTTTGTGGATAATACCACAACAGTCGTACCAGATACAACACACAATCTTTTTGTTGGTCAAATTGCGCTTTGTCACGCTGCCGGCGGGCTCACAGGGCGTAGACCATACCTCTTTTCAGCCTGTATTTGTTGAAGTAAACCCCCTTCTCATCACAAGTGACTATCCAGGCCATAATTTTGTCTTTGCGTTGATATTTGAGCAGATCAGTGCAGTCCTGAACACCTGTCCTTATCTGCTTGAGTTAGCTCGTGTGGCACCCTGTGATTAAATTTGTACACTGGGCAAAAAAAGGGGGGGCAGTTCTATATCTCCTGTTTTACTGGGCCGATTGATGAAATTCAAATTGCATTGATTTAAATATAGCATTGTCCTAATATAGGTATTCTGACTTTTTCTGAAATGACATGCTAGTTTTTTTTCAATACAGTCAAATACCGAAAATCCGCCGACTTGAAATCCGCATTGCCTCACAAAATATAAACATTCAGTTTATTGGTTCCGGAAACCGCAATATTGAGTGCGAAATATTGAAGAAAAATTACTCACTGAATAATGACGTCATAATTACTGAATAATAATGAGTCATAACAGAAATACCAAATTATTGACATTACGATAAAAGTTTTTATCCTCTAATCTGCATCGAGGTAAAAAAGCTGACGTTTCACTCAACTCTTTCAAGTTCATGATTCACGTTGTTGTGTTTTCTGAGCTTTGTTATTTCACAAGATTATTTAGTGCTGCCTTTTTTTTTATCCAGATATTTCGTGGATAAATCAAGAATATTTTAAATTTCAACCCTTTTTAACACAATTACAGATAAGAAACGCAGTCATGATTTTACTGCTTGCAACGTTGAAAAACGTAAACACGTTGCATTGACGGTAAGGCAAAAAGTGCAAATTGTGCAAAAGATGGACACAGGTGCTACTCCTCAGTTTCTAGCAGAATCGTATGGAATTGCGACACGATTGTGTATGATATATAAAAAAATGAAAAAAGCTGTTGAAATTTTACAGCAACAGTGATTTTAACACCGGAATTCGAAACCAGAAATCTTTGCACAAGGCGAAATCGGAAAACCTCAATTTATATATGTAATAATAATTTAACGCATATAATAAGTTATTGCAATAATGTATATAATAATTTTATTAAATGTATCTAATGCACCTTATTTATTTTGCACTTTCAGTCTGAAAATTACGATTTATCTTTTCTGTACTGAAATCCGCAACATCCTAAAATCCACACAACCTTTGGTCTCAAGCTTTGCGGATTTCTGGACTTCTACTGTATTTCGATTCTAAGACTCAAATTTTGCCAAGCTGCCAAATTTTGTAAAAATCGTACCAGTAGTTTTTAAAACATTAGCTTTCAAAATTTTAGCTCTCAATGCTAATTTAATTTGATATATATTTATTAATATCTTTTTAAATTAAACTTACTTGATTACTTCCAGAATTCAAAATTTATATTTATTCCAAATTTATATTCATATTCCGGTTTTGTGTCAAAATACCTATATTAGAACAATGCTGTATTTAAATCTAATATATATCGTAAGTCGGGCTTTCGAGACATGAAAAACGCATTTGGAATTTTGTCAATTGGCCCAGTAGAACGGGAGGTATAGAACTGTGCTTTTTTTTGGGAGGGGGGTAGCGCTGTGTACATCAAGTTTTATGCTTTGCATAGTGTGACTAAAGGACACGCCACTAACATCTAACTCCTTAGCAAGCTCTAGAGTGGTTGCATACTGATCTTCTTCTGCAGGTTCTCACAGGCGGGACTCATCAACATCAGTAGGCCGGACAGAGTGCTCTGCTTCTTGAATGTCCATAATCCTTGTTTTTGAACGTTCGGGAACTAAACCTTCACAGTGTCATATGATACAACATTAATACCTAAAGCTATACACATGATTTGGTGACATTCTGTAGCTGACTTTTTGCAACAGAACTGTAAGTAGATGGTTCTAATCTTGTAGCAAGATAGTTCCATTTCATACACCTTGTACTTAATGGTAATGATATTGTTTTACAAATTTCACAACACAGTGTTCTAAAGAAAGTGTCTTTCTTTAAAATGCCAAAAATCATTTGACAAAATTTGATTAAACAAGTCTATGTGAACTTTTGTTAAAACTTTTTTATATTATAGCACTTACAATTTTTATGCAGTTACTGTTATTTTCATAAAGATGTTTCATTAAAATTTTTATTATCTTTATATTCTTACATAATGTTATGTGATCTAATTTTTCCATATTGATTTAGGTGTTAGCTGTGATTCTTGCCTGAAGGGAAATTTTAGAGGAAAACGGTATAAATGCCTTGTATGCTATGATTATGATTTATGTGCCACATGTTATGAAGCTGGAGCATCCACTACTCGGCACAATGCCGATCATCCCATGCAGTGCATCTTGACCAGATCAGATTTCGGTATGATTTCTTATTGTAGTTTAATGTGATTAAAAGGTTCAGTTTCATATCTATTGATAAGATTGTTCAGTTTTTCTGTTAAGATTTAACCAGTGAAACTGTACTCATAAATGTTTAAATTTTGTTTTTCAAAATTTACATATGCAAAATTGAATATTTTAAAGATATATTCCAAATGTTGTAGATCATTGTTATCTGCTTGGCCAATTTAATAGCAATGCAAAATTGAATATTTTAAAGATATATTCCAAATGTTATAGATCATTGTTATCTGCTTGGCCAATTTAATAGCAAGATTTCAGATAACTGATAAAGAAAAGTGTGCTATTGTTTCTTCACAATGTGTTTAATTTAATAAAAATTAAGAATGCAACCTTAATGCTAACTGCTAGCAAAATATCAATTTCTCTCCACATTCATGAAATGTGGGATCTATCTTGGAAACTTTCAAATAAATTCAAAGGTAATGTTACACTTGGAATAATGTTTCCTGTAATTTTGTGTATTATGTAAGTGGACGTAGAAATTCTTTAGCTAGTAATAAAATGCAGTGTAAACAACAGTTCAACTTCTCCAGTAGTTATTGTATTGAAATTTCCTAAACATGAAAATGTCTTCAAATCCTTTGTGCTGAATACTAAATTGATAGCTTTTTTGGATGAAAGAACAATTTTTCACTATCTGAACCTAACAAACATCTAGAATTCATTTTTTGAGTTTTGAACCTTAAATAAAGCAGTACACAAAAGTACATGACTGCTTTTACCATTAGTATGAGCTCCAAAATGGTTATTTTCATAGTTGTTCTCACAAACACTTGGAGAAACATTACAGTCAAAAGTCTTTAATCCGGACTCGTCGGGACTTTGGCAATTCCGGATTATCGGTTTTTCCGGATTACAGATCATCAATTTAAATCTGGTAAGATGGCATGCAGAAATTATAAAATTAAAAATATGAAACCGTAATTTATGAAATAAAGAGCAATTATGATCTAAAGAATATCAAAATTTACAAAAAAAAACTTATTATTTATTTGTTTATTTTATTAAACATTTCTTTCAACGTGCACATGCGTAAAGCATACATTACGCATAGTCGAAATTAGAAAATTGCAACCAGAAAACCAATTGATGTGTATTCGTGATATTTATAACGACAAGGAATTTGATTTAAATCATATCAAAGACAGAGTACATCAAGATGAAATACTACATTTAGTAAGGAATTATAAGCGGAATAAAATAAAAACATCTGCCCTGAAGAAAAGGATAGTGCTGACAGATCAACTTCCAGTTGATTGCGTGCCCGACGCCCCCCACACCCCCTCTTACACATTTTAACTCTATGGACATTAGACAAGCAATTAAAACAAATTCTATTAGTCCTATTGCACTGTTAAGTTAAAAAAATTAGTATACTTGAGTAAAACATGATCCTTACAAAATAAGCAAGTAGGATTAGAAATCAGAGAAGTAATCCTATTATATATATTGGTTTATCTGGTGTATGTTTTTTATTAATTAAAGTTTTACTGTTTTGTAATGTTCTGTAATGTTCTTTTTATTAATTAAAGTTTTACTGTTTTGTAATTATCAAAAAATTGTATTCATTCAACTTTGGAATTTTGTGTTTTTTTAATTGACCATAACTTTGTCAAAACATCAAGTTTTTGCAAAATAATATAAACTAACAAATTATCACTAAAATTATCTATCTTTTGATCTAATATTTAGAATGAGTGAGTTATTTACATAATCCACTAAATTTAATATCGAGGATGCAGATTCCATTTGCAAAACATTGAGAATTGTTTTAATATAAGCAAATATGTGTTCTCTTTTATTAAAAAATCTCTATTCTAGTTAATTCCTAGCAATACTGAAATGTTGATGAGCTACAGGCATTGACTGAATTATGTATCATTTTCAAAGAATCTTTTAAATATTGTAATTTTTGAGCTCCAGAAAGATTGGGATTGTTGCAAACACTAGTGTTAAATAAATCTTTAAAAATTATCCATTCTGTTAAATTTCAGCTGAATGTGGGTAAAGATAATTTTGGCAACTGTAAACCTTCAACAATTGATTCTGGTATGCTATAGGAATGGTTTCAGTACAGGTATATCGTGCCACTTGCATTTACGACCTTTTCTTATTTTACGAATAATTTTTAGCTGAACCTCCTCGATTTTCTCTAAAATCGACTGTTTTTCCTCAGCGAAGGTGTATTTTATCATCCTCACAATTTTTATAAATTTTGTTAAACATAGATTTGAAATCCTCTTTAAAGATTTACATTTTTCTAAGATTAATTCTACTTCAGCATTATCTAAGTTTTCATTATCTATTTTCTCAATGAATTTTGTTAACTGCGGTTTCAAAACTTTCTTCTATTTTTTCCCTGTATCTGACATTTTGATGAAGATAAAATTAGAAGAAAACAATACTACAAGAACATGCGAAATATCGAGGCTCAAGAATTTAATGTTTGAAATATCATGGCTCAAAATTCCCAGTTTTCACTTGAAATATTGCATGTTATTTTTTTCGCCATATTTCGCCTTTTTTTTAGTACGATTGATTACACAATATACAAATTACCTAGTGACAAAGAGGCTGCCATAAGATTCCTTCACGACAAAGAAATAACTCGTGGCAATTGACTTTGTTCTCAAAATCATTTGCAGAAGTTAACTTTTGATTCAAACAAAGCTTCTATGGGGTGTTGTTAGGTACGTTCTTGCTGTGAAAAAAAAAGATTGAAAACCAAAACATGGTTTGATGGCTTGCGTCTTTCTTTCCTCAGTGCTGTTCGTTTTATTTACCTGTGGTGTCAGGAATTGATGTCGATCGAAATTTGCAAATTTCAGTTAGAAATCAGCCATAATATGATAGTAGATTCGAATAACTACTTGAGGGAGGTATGTGCAGATAGTTAGATGCCTCATAAAAAAATAAAATCGATGGAGCGAACAAATTGTAGAAATAAACCAAAGTCTTATCACAAAAAGGAAAAACAATGCTGGATGTGTTGTTCTGCAACAATGGGTATTCAGGGGTTTGTGCCGGGAAAGCAAAGAATGGTTTTCTGGTCGCTGTTCCTGATTGTTGTGCTACAACATTAATAATTGCCATTCAAAAAAATATCGCGAATAGCAGCATTATAATTTCAGACTGTTGGAAAGGATATAAGAAAGAGGAATTACGAAATGCTGGGTTTGAACATTTCACTGTGAATTATAATTTTGTAGACCCCGAGACCGGATGGCATACTGTGAAATGATTGTGGGGCAGTGCTAAATGGAGAAACAAACATCATCGGGGCACTTCTCGCCACCATTTAGAGTCAGTTTAATAGAATTTATATGGTCTCGGTTATATTCAAAAACTGAAATTTTTTCTGTAATATTGAATGATATTTATAATACATATATATCTGATTAGATTGAATTTTATTTTATTTTGTTATTTTTAATTATGTGTAGAATATTCTTTATGCCACCTGTCTAGATTAAATTTCATTTTGTTTTATTTTTTATTTATGTGTAGAATATTTTAGATACAAAAATTAAAAAGAAGAATTTCCTTTCTTTAAGAATTATGAAATTAAAAAATTTACTTTTTACAGAAGTAATTTTTTTTACACTATTATTATTTCATAATTTTAAACTCGCCAAAAGTTGGTGGCCAAAAAAGAGTGGCACATTTTTAACTGACACTGCTGTAATGGAATAGTACCGAAAAGTTACATAAAAATTTATTAATTTGGACGTAGAAAATTGCAAGAAAGCTTAGAAAATTTTTTTCTAAAAAAAGGGGGGGTTGTCCTTTTTTTTTCTTTTAAGAAAATTGTTTAAAAGGAAGTGTATGAACAGTACAGTCAAAAGTCTTTAATCCGGACTCGTCGGGACTTCGGTGATTCCGGATTATCAATTTTTCCGGATTATAGATCATCAGTTTAAATCTGGTAAGATGGCATGCAGAAATTATAAAATTAAAAATATGAAACTGTAATTTATAAAATAATGAGCAATTATGATCTAAAGGGTATCAAAATGTACCAAAAAAGAAGCCTAATATTTATTTGTTTACTTTATTAAACATTTCTTTCAACGCGGATGCGTAAAGCATACCTTACGCATAGCCGAAATTAGAAAATTGCAACCAGAAAACTATTTGATTTGTATTCGTGATATTTATAATGACGAAGAATTTGATTTAAATCATATCAAAGACGGAGTACATCGAAATTAAATACTACATTTAGTAAGGAATTGTAAGCCGAATAAAATAAAAACATCTGTCCTGAAGATAACGATAGTGTTGACAAATCAACTTTCAGAATGCATGTCAATTTCTGAGTTAGTGTCATGAGCACTAAAAAATTCATTATAACTTTCATCATCAGTTTCTTCAATGGTTGGATACATCAAATAATTTTTGCAAACGTAACAATTCTTCCTTATAGGATAAATTACGTGACATGTTTGCAGCTTTTTGTGCTACCACAAATGAACTACCTTACAGCAAAGCGAATAGACACGCTGGGTCTGAAAGATTCAATCTGATTAAAACAAAACTTCGAATAAAATTTCTGGCAAAAACACTTCGGAAACGTAAAGAGGATGGCATTGGAGGAGACTACACTGAATTACAACCACTTCGGAAAAAATATTGTGTTTTCAGAAAGGTTTCTTTAATCAGGCGGGTTCATTGGACTCTACATGCGCGCTTGCGGGTTAAATGAATAATTTTGTATCAAAGTTTCTGTAACATAGGATAAGGAATGGAATCAAATCCTGAGTCTGTATCCTCTACTTCATCTTTTCTAACATTATCTCTATCATTGTGTTTCTATTAAAGTTAACTTATCTTGTTGCCTCATTCCATAAGCAAGTTATTCGAGGCAGTTTTTGGTTAGTATTATTCTTTAGTATTTGCACATAAAAAAAATAAAATTTTTATTTTCTATTTGAATTTTTTGTACAAGTTTTTGTGTTATGCTTGTTTGAATTGAATGGAGAAGCACAGCCCTTCTGTAGTAAATTATTAAAGTACAGAGGATTATTATAACATGATACTGCATCATGGTTTCCAAGTCTTTAAATGATTGGTTGCATGAAGTTATTATGGTTTACTTTGTGTAGTAATTTTTAAGCAATAGGCAAATAGTCCTACTATGTTTTTCCATAATATAGTAAATAAATAATCCAGATAAATCTGAAATGGACCACACAAAAATAAGAAATTTATGTGTGTTGGAGCCCCATAGGTGGCAGTGTTTGAGTTGTTACGAGGTGTGAGATGACAGGCTCTGACTTTGCAGAAGCAATAATTTAATCAGTTATGTCTCCACTTGACATTACAGAACTATAACTTCACGGCCAGTGTCAAGGGATTTTAATAATCTGTACCGTCTCGGTCACTAAAGCCTTTCAAGACTAATTCAATATGCAAATTGTTTTAGAGAAGGCAAGATTCGGAATGCTCCTAAACTCTCGACTCTTGTCTCTAGCAAGATCTTCAAATAATGAGGGCATAAAACATATACAGTCAAAAGTCGTTAATCCGGACTCGTCGGGACTTCGGCGATTCCGGATTACAGATCATCAGTTTAAATCTCGTAAGATGGCATGCAGAAATTCTAAAATTAAAAATATGAAACTGTAATTTATGAAATAAAGAACAATTATGATCTAAAGGGTATCAAAATTTACAAAAAAAAAGCTTAATATTTATTTGTTTACTTTATTAAACATTTCTTTCAATGTGAATTGTTTAAGTTGCTTCATTTTATGTGATAATACTTTTTCTTTAATTCTATAAACAGACATAATTTCTTGTTCAGATACACAAAGTTCCGCTGTTCAACGTAACGTAAAGGTTTTCGCACACGCGTAAACGCCTATGTGCATGTTCAACGCGCGCATAGGTTTAGCTTTGAGTTCCGTAAAACTTTTGTTTTAGTCTTTGCACATTAACGCCTATTCAACGGCTAATTCAGTGGATTATGTTTTTCTAATTTCTATGCCCTTCTATGCCTTCAGTATTTTTATTAGAACTTATCAGAGATTTATACTAAATGTATTTTAGCTCTCAATGCAATAAGTAATATACAACGAACACCAGTTAACACATGGAGTCGTGCCATCAGCACAGCATACTATTTTCACCCCAAATCCATATTGTATTATTATCATCATCATCATGTAAACTGTTTGTATAAGTTCTTGCATTATTATCGTCATCATAATCATCATAACCATCATAACCATATAGGCATTATTCATCTGAAATTTGAGTTGCATATAAATTCAACTTACAGATGTTCTCAGAAATGTATATTTTTTAGGCATGCTTGGTTTGTAAATGCAGACAGTGCAACATATGCTTTTAAATATGAAGATTGTTGAAGCTAATGTATGCAATATATATTGAAATTAAAAGATTGTTTGGCTAAACATGCGCAAAATGTGATATATGTAAATAGTTTTTCATATTTATATATATTATTTTTTGCATATGTGGAAACAATGAACTTTGCCTTTTTTAGTAAAATAAATTATGATTACTAGACAGACTACGCAGAACAGTTTGATGTCTTTCTAACTTTTTTTGGGGTATGTGTATGCTATTTTTATACAACCAATACTTTTTTTTATTGCAAACAAAATTATGAGCTTTTACTGTATTTTAGATTTGTACTATGGAGGAGAAGCAGCTTCTGTTGAGCACCCCCAGTCATTTACTTGTCCATTTTGTGGTCGAATGGGACTGACAGAATCTGCTTTGACTGAACATGTTGCTGCTGAGCACTCTGAATCTTCAGCTGAAATTGTAAGTTTAATAATGAGTTTTTATTTTTTTTTTAAATTTATGTTCTTGTATGATTATTAATATTTATGAATGTTCATGAAAAAAATATTCTTGAAATAACTTTATTAATCTACACTGGTAGGAATTATAAAGCTGTCTAATAAAGTGTAAATTATAGAAAAATTAAAAATGTCACAAAGATATTTCTTGCATCAAATTTCAGAAAGATTTCAGGAATCATTCGAATTTTAATATTTTTTTTTACAAACATCGAATTGAAATTCATTGATTTCCAGTTACATGTAAATTCTGTTATGTTTTTGACTGCTGTTTTTTTTCTTTATTGGCAGTTGACTATTTACCTTGTAGAGACATTAGGAATTTTTTGGAAGCAGGCAAGATAAAAAATATGCAACTGCTTCTCTGGGAATCGAACCGCAGACCTCTCAGTTATGCTCTGAGCATGCAGACCACTACACCACGAAGGCTCACCAAGAAGGTGGGAGAAATACCTTATATATACTCCCCCTCTTAAAGGGCGACTGGGGTTTTTAGAGGGCCCAATCACCAAATCCTGAGTGAGGAGAATCATCATCCAACACCCTTTTAGTTTGTGCGCCACTGTAGAGACATTAGGAATTTTTTGGAAGCAGGCAAGATGAAAAATATGCCAGCGCCTTCCCCGGGAATCAAACCGCGGAGCTCTCAAATTACGCGCTGAGTATGAAGACCACTATACCACGAAGGCTCTCCAAGAAGGTGGGAGAAATACCTTATAACTTCCAAAATTTGATACTATTTCTCGTTGCCTTGGTGAATATATGACACAAGAAAGTGTGATTTGTTGCTAAATATTATAAACATCCACAAAAACAAAACTGACTAAATGGGGACCAATTCAAGTCAAAAATTCATTTAATATAATAATTTTTAATTTATATTTGCACAACAGTTTATTTAACATTTATATAAAAACAAGTTAATATAAATTTGCATTCATTATTTTATTTAATGCATTTTAGCAGTCACTTTGAAGTTCACAGTTCAGCAGTTCTTAATGCATGAAACACATTATCATGGCCAATATATTGCCTGAGCATAAATTTTGCTAGATGTAGTTCTGAGTGATAGCAAAGTGTGGCTATTTCACTTACTACCATGAGTGTTCAACTTTTAGAATCTTTTTTTTATTTTTTATTTTTTTTTTTTTTTTTTTTTTTTTGAAGGCATGTTAAAAATAGAACATATTTTAAGAAAAAATCTTGTATTTTAAAAGAGATAATTTGAAGTAACTGAAGGAACATAAACTCTTTGCACATTAATTAGTAACAGTTTATTTCTTGCCAAGGTGTAAATGCACGTATTAAACATTTAACAGTAAAAAATGTTATATTTTAAACCACCCTTTTTCTATAAAAGGGAAGTACTCAGAATTTTATTAACATAGTCTAGTTAATTTAACATTGGTTTCATTCATGATTGCTATTATTATTAAAGTTTATACTGTAAATGTTGTTTTGAGAAATTGTTTTTGTTAATTGGATCTGAATAAATGAGTTCTCAATGACACCTGCATGCATAATAAGAACTCATTTATTCAGATTTAAATTTACAATTTAAGGTAAAATCTAAATTTACAGTTTTACCTGTGTATTGTTAGTTCATCACTGATGACCATTAATTTGCTTCTTTTATCAATATTTTTATTTTTCACTATTGAAATAAACATGGAGCATTACAGATTAATTTGATATATTTTTTTACCTTTAGAGATAATAGTGTAGATTTTTCAAAATGATATTCTGCATCTGTACCCACTCTTTTGAATTATTTATACAAATTCTTTTTGAAAACCAATTAATTGTACCTTAACCCCTTAACTGCCATGGGTGTATATATACACCTTGCTCAGCTGATGCGTCAACTGCCCCGGGCGTATATATACGCCCTTCTAAACTACTATCATTTGCTTTTCGCTGCTACCCCTAAAATTATTCGCAAAGCTTTGGAATGCAACATCACAGTGATCTTGACAAAGTATGCGAAGTAGGATACTATTGTAGAGAAGGGTATTGGGGAGAAATTGGTGAGAGGGGTGGGTCTAAAGCGGTAAAAGTAGTGACTGCACGGTATTGGCTGGTGTTGCTTGAGTAAAATGTATTTTTTTTTTATTCTGTGTGTCCGTTTTCGTTTACTTTTTGTAATAGGTTCCAGGAATAAAAAAAAAAGATGTAATGGATGTTTCAAACCCATATATCTTTTTTGAATTATTTTTTGATGAACTGCTCGTGCTTCATATTGTTACTGAAACTAACTGTTTTCTAGACGAGTATATGAACCAACACCTTGCAAACGAAAAATCAAGAACAAAATCATGGCATTCAACCAGTTCAGAAGAAATATTTTTTAGGCATACTGATTTCACAAGGTATAACACTGAAACCTGGTATTGCACTTTACTGGTCTAAAAATGAATTGATCGAAACTCCATTTTAGGGATATTTTTTATAATAAAAACATCCTTATTACAATCTTTTTATTATACTTTTACTCAAAACATTAAATTTTGTTCATTCATTTTTTCTTTTATTCTTTATTTTGTGAAAGTAAAACTTGCACTTATTTTCTCCTTAATACATCGTATAACTACGCACGCCTGTGTGAATAAACCGTGGCACTGAGAAATGAATCTTGGTATGTTTCTGTGGAAGTTAAAGGGTTAAAATTCGTGACTAAATTTTTTAATTTTGAAATTAGGGGATAGCGCATCATAATGTACAATTTAGATCATTTTAAGAATGTACAGCTTTAATCCATCTGCTTCAGTAAACAAATTATTCTATATGTGTGGCTTGTCATATATTGCATCATTTATCATTTTAGTGAAAATAAAGCTGAGTATTTTTTGTTCGTTTTGATTTAGCCTAGTGTGAGTTAAAAACATATTTTAGTGAAATATTCCCCCTCCATCCCCCGATTACAAAGATCCTCTAGTAATAATGGTTTATCACTCTTGGTTAGCATCACATGTCACACCTTACTAATCCCACTTTCTTCACATTTTTTACAGTGAGATTCCCACCTTAAATGGGAAAACATTTTGTATTTTCTGTAATTTCACCTTTGGTTATTTTTACATGTGAAAATAGCTTTTGTAGTGGATTTAGAGTGTGGGTCCAAAGGAAGTGAATTACATAGCCAAGATTTCTTTTTTGAGAAAATATGCTATAAAATAATCTGCAATAAAGGATTCCATTATTTTTTTGTATGAAGGTCAAGAAGGAATTGTAAAGCTGTTTTCAAGATAATATTGTAAAACTACTTTGTGAAATTTTTTTACATATTTTTAATGATTATTTTTATGCTGTTGCTTATCTTAAGTATCTCAAAGCACTGTATTTGATATATATTGTGTTTTAATTAAAGTTTCTTGCTACTGTAAATATCGTCTGCGCAAACAGCTTCCGCTTGTGTGTTTAATCATATTTTATCAAACGACTTTGGCATTTGAAAGGAAGAGACTTGCTTTAGAACGCTGTGTGAAATTTGTAAAAAAAAATACTCTTATCATTAAGTACAATATGTCTGAAATGGAACTATTATGCTACCAGATTAGAAGTATCGTATACTTCTAGTTCTATTGCAAAAAGTCGTCACCAGATCATGTACACAGCTTTAGGTACTAATGTTATATCATATTACACTTTGAAGTATTTTTGAAATTTAAAATTTGGGTGCATTGCTGGGAAAACAAGTTAGTGAACGTGATTATTACATGCAGGAAGGATCCTAGTACATTAAGCGAAAAAACACGTTATTGACGAAAATATTTTGCTTTTCTGAATTCAGGATAGAACATATGTTGATTTTAAGCAATTGGGAGAGGGAGGGGACTTTATTTATTTATTTATTTTTTGATCAGAAGTTAAAAAAAAAATGGAACAGGAAGGGGCTAATTTAAGTAAGACTAAAACTTCGTTTTATTAATTAAAAGAAAATCGCAGTAATTGAAACTGATGAAATTGAAAGCAGAATTGAATGAACCTCACTAAAGTGAGAAAATTAAATTTCTTTTTAAAATGTGTTCAATTTAAAATAATTAAAAAAAGTGAAGCAGTTTTATATTGTTGAGTAAATTTCTTAAATTATTTACTTAAATGTAAATGTAAATACATATATTTAAAAATACATGATCTTTTAATTTTTCTTAAAATGGTTCATTATAATTGTTATATTTTATTAAATTTTCTTACTTATTTTTAAAGGAATTAATGTTGTATATATTTAAATGTTTATTAATTATGGTGTATTGTTATGAAAGTAATCTCCTTGATGTCTAAAATAACTATTTAAAAAAGATTAACTGATTAGTTTTTGGAAACTAACTTACAGGTATGTCCTGTTTGTGCTTCTCAACCTGGAGGGGAACCTAACCACATGACAGATGATTTTTCAGCCCATTTAGCACTTGATCATAGAAATAGAGATATTATATCCTTTCTTCTAATTTATAATTTCATTGTTTCATAATGCGTAATAAAGCAAGACTTCTATAGCTTGTTCCTATGTGGAAGGAGATCAAAATTATTTTATATAGAATTTGCCAATTTCACTTGAGTAAATGTTTTTTGTAAGCAAGATTTTTATGTAATATGTAAAATGTAGCAGTGTTTTATCTTGTGAAATTCATAATGAATGATATGTTGCTAGTATATTAATAACATAATTAGTTCAATGATTAATATAAAGTAATTGGTTTTTAAAGTTTAATTTTCAGTATGCCATAATTTTGTTAGGTTGAATAGAATGTTTCTGACTCAACATATTAAAAGTTAGCAGTAACTTTTGTATGTGAGTAAAATTTTGTAACTGGAAAGATTTGGCATGTGAAACTTTTTTCTGTAATGCTGCTGAATTTTTACTTTCCTTTCTTAATAGTTCAAGTTGGGTATTATTCCCAAATTTTGGAGGAAAACTGCTTTTATGAATATTTAAGGAAAATTGTAATTTATTTTATGAATGTGATCTACGTTTTGTTTAGATCTGAGTAAAACATATCCGTTTCACATTTTACATTTTTCTGTGCATTAGACTATTTGATATATGTTGTATGCTGTGTTGTTTCTTGTTATTAATTATTCTTGTTTTAAAATTCATATTTTTACAAAATTTTTCTTATTAAAAATTAATTTTCAAGGGCAGCTTAAAATTAGTTATGTATGTTGGCATTAGAGGGAATTAAATGTAAGCACTTTAATATGAATAATATTTATTTAATAGTTGGTATTTTGCTGTTCTGTATTTTGTAATTTATTTTAGCTACTGATATGTAGCTTGGGAAAAAAAATGCAAATGACAGTTTAGTGTTTTTTTAATTAAAATTTAATTTTATTCAACGGGAATGTTATTAGCCTACTGTGTAACTAACAGTATATACTTCTCCTACACATGAAAAACTAAATACTTATCTTTTGTTAAAATTCTTTTTTCCCCGCTTATTTATTTAATTTTTCATCCATGTGTAATCATATCCACTGTGTAAAATTTCTTCCATTTTATATTTTAGTAGCATTTTCTTCATCAGCTTTGTGATACTTCTTCAACTGTAGAATATGCAAAGCAATATTTGATGAATGCCTGAAGATACTTTCCTAAATATTAAGTAACTTTTCAAAAAATAGAACAAATTTCATTAATTACTTCGTAAATTCACAAATATTTTTAAAAACTCCTTTTTCCCCTTTTTGTTTTTTAAATTGAGTTAAAAAATAAATGTCATTTGTCTAGAAGAAGAAACTTTTCTCAAAAATAGCAGTACCAGTTTTTGATTGCACTTTCTGTCACCAAGCCGATTTACAATATATTTCTCCCGACTTTCTATTATCCTTAAAATTTCTCATGATTGTTGTTAGTTTGGCATAATATTTTTCATCCAAAAGCATGATTTGTATGGTCAGAAATTTATTTTTTGTCCAGTTACTGATTTTTTTTTTAAAAATTTGTCTACTGATTTTTTAAAAAGTTTTTTCAAAGTTCATAGTCCACTTCTCCAGTGGGCTGCTGCAGGTTATCTGACACACATCAGCCAACGAATATAAAGCAAAATTGAAAAAGTCCTCAGCATTTTTGGAGTTTGGGGAGTACTTCTTCAATTGTAGAGTATGTAAAGCAATATTTGATGAATGACTGAAGTCACTTTCTTAAATATTAAATAACTCTCTTTTTTTTGTAGAGTTTCATAACTAAGTTTCTCTTCTGTTGTTACATCATTTGGCTTAATATTTCTTATTTTCAACCACAAACATGATTTCTGAGGTCAGAAATTAATTTTTTTGTCCAGGTACTGATTTTTACTTTCTTGTACGAAGTAAAAAGGAAGTTTTGTAATCGCGAAAAGTTTGAGGCAGCATATTTCAACGAAAATATCCATTTTGACCGCTATCGAATGCAATTTAACGATGTTTTTGCGCGATATCTGTACGTGAGGACAGAATAAAATACTCTTTTCCTTCAAAAAAATTATAAAACTGCTTTAAAATTAATTCTGAAGAGAATTTTTCGTCGCGTCTGTACGAACGTATGTACGTACGTGCATGCGTACGTACGTATCTCGCATAACTCAAAAACGAGTAGCCTCAGAACGTTGAAATCTTGTATATAGGACTGCTATAACATTTAGATGTGCACCTCGTATTTTGGTGCAATCGGCCCAACCGCACCAAACGTATATATATTATATATATATCCACTATGTTACCCGGCTCAGTAATCTCAGTTTCTTTACTCTTATATGTTTGTAAATTGTACATTTTTTGCTTTAAAAATAATTGAATTATGTTGTTTTTATCTTCCGGTTAAGGATTTTATGCCTTTAGTAAATCTGTGTGCAATATTTTTAGAATTATCAGCAATTTTAAAGTTATTTAATTGCCGCTAAGCTTTTTTTTATGGCGGCCATTTGATGTTTACATTTGAAACAGGAGACTAGTGGATTTGTTGCCAATCTAGAGAAACTTAGCTTCGCAACAACAAAGATAACGCCTTCATTTATTATTTAAATCATGCTTAATCCTTTCTGGAATTTTTTCGAGGAAATAAGCGTTTAAAATTTACTTCGTAATTTTTAATATAGATATTTTGAGTTTTTATGTATTTTTGCCTTCTCGCGAAGTGAGAACTGAATTAATTAAATGAGAAACACTCAATCGTCTGTGAAAAACTATTTCTTTTTTTTTTTTGTTTTTTTTTTGCTTAATTTCTTTTATACATCATTCTAGCTTTATTATAGTATTTGAATAGAACATGTGGCAACGATTAGATAATTCTATTCTTTAAATGATATAAATTTTTGTGCATTATGAGTTATAATATGAACGAAATATATGAGTTAACTGTTATATAATTATTGGATTATATAACAGTTAACTTAGTTTCCGTTATAAAATTATTATATAAGTTAACTGTTATATAATTATTAATACTGTTAAGTGAACCTAGCGCCAGAGTGTCGCTATGGTAAACAAATACTAGAGTTAATTTTAAAGAATGCATTTATTCTATTGTGGTTTATGCGCTGTCGGCGAAGTAGATTTAATTCAATCCAATAAGTTTAAATGAAATGCAAGAAAAAATGCGTATAATTTAATATTTCATACAAGGAAGTCATGTAGTGTACACATCAGATTTTTTCTTTTTTAAATTTGTCTACTGATTTTTTCAACCATTTACGCCTATGCAGAGTAGATGTGTCTGAAAATGTCATAGGTCACTTCTGCAGTGGGCTGCTGCAGGTTATCTGACACACATCATCCAATGAATACAAAGCAAAATTAAAAAAGCCCTCAGCATTTTTGGAGTTTGGGAATGGTGTGGAGTTCCCATGATTAATTAGGTTGTTTAAGTATTTGTAATTTTTCATCTTAGTTTTATCTGTAGAAAGAGACCCATATACATTTCAAGAAACATATTAAAATGACTTTCTTTGTATTATTTTGACAAAGATTGTAATATGTTTGTAATGTAGGCCATTTGTCATAGCAGTTTTTCAGTTTCTCATAGCAGAAGGATTAATGTATTGAAACGTGCTCACACGAAAGTAATGTAAATTATGGTGGGGTGGGGAAAGGAAAAGTTAAGTTTTCCTTTGGAAGTAAAGGGTGAAAAGATTATTTTATCCATGCTGCCTATTTTTATCCCTTTCTATGGGAAAAAAATTTGCTGCTCTCTCTGAAAAATGCCTCTGATCGTGTGAGGGAGAGTGGGTTATTCAGAAAAATGTTCCACAGTAGCGAAACTGCTTAGAAATTTTCACATGCGAAAGAGATACAGTTTCTTTGCCAAAAAATATAGATGAATTCTTGTTGATGTTTATTACTATCTTGAAAAGACTTCTAAAAGGAAAGAAAATAGACACAATTCTAACAGCTATATAACACTGAAATAAAAAAATATTAAATACCTATATCCACACTGATTAATTTGTTTTAAACTTTTATTAGCAAAAATAGACCTATGTAGCAGTTGCTGGGAGCAAAATTACGATGCATCTTTTTTAAAGAAAAAAAATCTGCTGTGGTTGTTGACAATTGTATGAAAATGGGTTAAACTGTTATCATTCTAAATGAAGCGTTTCAAATAATGTCTACATTTTTTTACTTGAATTAAAACTTCAAATTGTACATCCCAAAAATAGTAGTATTTAAGTTTGTATTTTTAAAAATAATTCTTATGTATTTTTGCTGCTTAAATTCACCTTTATTGGTTAAAAAAATTCCTGTTTTTTTTTAAATAAAATCTGATTTTTGACTCTGACACGTTGGCACATTTGCATCAGTATACTTCTGTCTTCTGTAGCAAGACTATAGTGATTTTCATAACTCTTAGTATCATTTGTTTTGAGCTGAGTATTTATTATTTGTTGCCTGGCATCATTGAAAAAATTCTTTTATTAAACAGGATGATCTTCAGTCGAATAAAAATTATAATGTTTCAGTATATATGTAAACATTTTAGTTTATAATGTAGATGAGTACTGAATAATTTCTTGTTGTATTCATAAATTCTTGTTGAAAATCAAAATTTACTATTTATAAATCCTTGTTGAAATGCAAAGTTACAGTCCCAATTTTCAATCTTTCAAGCCTTTATAATTTTTTGTAATTTTATTAATTTTTTTTTGGGGGGGCTCTGTTTTGTTGAAGTCTTCCTTTTACCCATTAACCGCCAAAACTACAGCATGTTCTTTTCTCTAAAATAATACAAATATTAATTAAGCATTTATAACACATTTCATTGAAAATTAAAAAAAAAAGCTCTTACCTGTGGAAAGCGAGTGTTGCATTCATGCAACGTAGCAAAATAAGAACTTACTAAGTTTAGTGAGTAGGATTGTCTTGGTGATGTTTTTTGAGTGGAGCGCAGGATTACTTTTCAGCTCTATAACGTTTTTATAATCTACAAATCACTTTACTTGTAAATTTATATTCAATATCATTGTATTTCTTTTCCAATACATTAGTTCATTTGAAAGTCAAGCATGAAAGCTTGATTACATCATGGTAAAGCATTACATACTTTGCATCTGTAAACATCTGGCTATGTGCTCTTTACAACAAGTCTTTTGTTATCAACAGACTTAACGATAAAATGTCTACCATCTCCATCAATGGTTTTTGAAATGCTGAATTTACTAGGTCTTCTGTTGCTGATTTATTTCTGGCTTTCTACACTCTCAAGTTTGCAAAAGGAATAATCCTTCTCGCGTCTGAAATCTAAAAGAGACTTTTATTTCCGTTAGTAAATTGTGATATTTAGTAAGTTTAGATACGGTCTCACCTCATATATTTATCAGTATGTCAAATGCAAATTCTGCTTTATTCCTGTACTGCAAACGTGATATCGATTCTCGTACAACAGGATCAAAAGGTCCTTATCAAAGACTATACATTTTTTTCTTAAGGTAAAGAATGATATCCTGTAAGCATAATATCCAGTAAATCTTCTCATATAGTCTTCAGATGCAATAAATTCTGGACAATTTTTTTTTTTTTTTTTTTTTCTGAGCATATATATTTGTCTGTTCTCAATGAGAAGACAGTAAATGTCTAAACCAAAAAGAAAATAGAAAATCTGCTCACATGTTTTACCTTGTATTTTGTCTTTTATAATTTCTCTTCTATCTCTTTCTTCATGTTCTTCCTGAGACATAACTAACAGTTCCTTTTTTTTAATCCACTTCAATATTTCAATCGTCTGCTTTTTAAACTTTTTAATATGACTATAACTGCTTTTAGAAGGCTGAAACTTACTTCTTATGTGAATTTCAACTTCACCAGCAGTATCATTTGGTAAAGTATCATTATCATTATTTCAAACATTGCCATTTCTTTTTTCTTTGTCACTAGCTTCTGCAGCTTCTGGGGGAACAACAACAATATGAGTTTCATTCTGGTCATTATTAACATTATCATCATCTGTTTCTTCATCAAAAAATCTTTAATGGGCTTCTTCTAATGTAAGATACCTCGTTCTAGGCATTTTTAAACAACCAGAACATGAACCAGAACATCGAAAGGAATCAGTGATAAAGGAAATTGACTACCCGTTTCCTGCTGAGGTTGCGTCAACGCAACACCTGTTTTCCCTTCCTTCCCAACACAAATGTAAACATCTGACTGGTGTAATGTTCTGATAAATGGTGACTTTGACTGAAAATAGATCACTCATAAGGACGGCGATTCTTTCGTTAAATATTTTCAGCAAAAATACCCGGTCGAAAATTTTGCGTAAAGTATGAGATTAATTATTATAAACAAAATGATTGTTGAAGGCAAATATTTTTTACAGAAATAATCTTCATAATATTCCCTACATAAAATCAACTGCTGGTATAAAGTATCTTAATTAGTTATATTTATATATGCATTTATTTTGACCGTTGCGTCAACGCAATACCAGCGGCTAATGGGTTAAGAAAATAATTACCCCCTTTAGGTTAGGATTATTGTTATATACTATATCATTAATTTCTAGTGTAATTTAATATTTTCTTAAATAATTAACAAATTTGAATAATAAGATGCTTTTTAATGGAAGCTTGCTTTGTTAAAATTTTACTGAATTTGTCGTATGATAGTAATAGCTGTTACAACTTTAACTTACTACGATGAACCAGCTAGTTCTCGACATGTCAGGAGGATACCCCATGCTGGAAGAGGAATGAGTAGCAATAGAGCACGTCGTTCTCAAATGCAGTTTACGTCGGCTGGTGGATTGGCATCATTATCACCTAATAGTAGAGATTCAATGGATCCTATTGCAGGTTTGTAACTTCTTATTTGTGTTAACTGAGTAATAAAACCAAGGTGAAATTATCATTTACTCATTGATGAAATTAATAATTTTACCTTACAAAACAAAAGTCTCCCGTTTTACATAATTACTGTGATAAGCACTATAAAGTTTTATTACTATAGTTCGACCGTCTGAAGCACAACCCTGGTTGGCATTTTGCCAAAACACATAGACTCGTCCAAAAGGGGCAGTATTACTTGCTGCAACATGAAAGGTCTTCTCTTCTCCGGAAAGAGCTATGCTGGAGGGAAAGAAAGTCCCCCATCCTTCCACCCTATTTTGAGAATAATTCGGTCCAAATGGCGCATGCGTGTTTGCGCTCATGGTTGCAGATGAGGCGGTCGAACTGTAGCTACTTACACAGCCAGCCTTCAGGCTAGTATGCTTAACTTGTGAAAGAAAAAATAAGATGAACACCAAATACAAAACTTTGGAAAGAAAAATGGAAATAGTATGGAATTTATGTAATGGAAGAAGACTCTACATTAAATCTAATTTCTTTGTGAACGATTATTTTCTGAAGGGAATAGGGATAAATAAATAAATAAAACCAGCATGAAATATTAAAGTTAGTGCAGGCAGAAATTTGTATTAGAAAAGGAGTAGTGCTATGTGAAATGATGTCATATTGTCGAAGCAAGATGTGCGATTCTATAGCCAACCAAGGTTTCAAAGCATGGAAGATTCTGTTTGAAGTCATTAAAAATACTGTAGAGAATTACCTAATTAATATTTTTTGTATCTTTCTTTGTTTTAAAAGAAGGTGGAAGATCGTTATTTTCAGTGAAGCATATGAAACTTACATTTTAGGTTGTATAGAGGTATGAATTGATGAAAACATCCATGCTGAAAATTGGTAACTTATGCTGCCATTTTATAACAAACTTCATTCAAAAATCCCCTCCTGCCAGTTGGTGGGGTGTCTCAAAAGTTCAGTTTCTTTTTGAGCACATTTTGTATATGCATTACAGATGTAATATTAGGGCATCTGAAGAAAGAAGAATTTGCATTATAATGAACAACAATTAGTGACTGCTTTTCTGAAAATTTTTAATGTAGTGATAAAACTGTAAATACACTACTTCACAGTAAAAACACTTTGAAACTTTTGTTACAGGACTGTTCAAATTCCAGCTTGTGTTAATGAAAGCAAAATTACATAAATTATTATCATTTCTGATCAATGATGTCATTTAAAAAATGAAATAAAGTTAATGCATGTCCTTAGAAAAGCACTTAAATTTGTTTTTCTGGGAGGTCTCTTGAAAATCTTGCCATAGGTGAACAGGAATATAAAACCCATAGATTTTGTTTCCCTGGATTCTTTTATTCAAATTTAGGGTGGAGTTTTGGTGGATAACCTCGGTATGTTTTGCCTAAATTAGATAATGCTCATTTTTGGTTGAAGAATTTTTTATTAAATATTTTATATTAAAATAAAACTAGATTTTAATATAATATTGAATATATTGAATATTTTATAGTAATTACATATGCAGTTCTTCTGTCCCCAGAGTTGATATGCAACCATATATATATTCCTAAAATTTATATCCTGAAATTAAAATGTAAATTTTGCTGATTTTGACATATATTAAAAGTGTTGCTTTTTCTTTAGAACTTCTTTCTCAGCTGTCTTCTGTGCGGCGTTCAAATCTTGCTCAATCCAACACAACATCACAGCTGCAACAACTTCAGATGCAGCTGCAAATGGAGCGACAACAAGCACAAGTAGCTCGGCAGCAGCTTGAACGGCTGCCTCGTCGTCAAGCAGCCACAACTAGCATTTCTACTTCGGCCGGTGCAGGGGGTAGCAGTGCTCTGCAAACCCATTATACAGTCTCTCTTGAAACTTCTTCTAGTCCTTCATCGGCATCCTCTGGACCACAGTTCCTTTTATCTAGGTAATTTCCATGTAACCTTTGTGATAAAATGAAAAATGCAAGCTATATAAAATTTGGGTATTCTTCTGTTATCAAGACCGCATTCAGAAACGTATGCACTTGTGTACCTAATGTATAAGCGTATATGTGTGCGTGAATATATACACACGCATACTTTACATTATTTCTGAATCTGGTCCTTATAACAGAAGAGTACAAAAATTTGTTTTATAATTTTTAAAACTTTTACCTGAAAAACCATGTTATAGCATCCATTATAGTAGTTTATAGCAGCAGTTTGAACATATTTTAATTATAGTTCTTTTATATGAGAAAAATTGTAATTTCAAATAACATTTTGTAAAAGAATACTATACATTATATTAGGTAGGCTAACAATTTTTATTCTATTATTTTATTATGCAAATGCAACTAGTTATGAGTTGCATTTGCATCATTCACAAACCGATGAACATGCTGTTGTCCATTATTTAAATATACATGTCAGTTGATAATGAATATCAGCAGGTATTTCAATCTTTAGAAATTAGAACCTCATGCTTTCTTATGCTAAAGTCAATTGGTCTGATACAATTTTAGTAACACAGCAGGTAACTGATACTAGCAACTTCTTCTACCAGATGTTAGATATGTGTATACAGTGTAATCTCAATTATTGGGGTAATGCTAGGAAAGCAGGTCACCGGTAATCCAAATTATCAATTTTCATGTACATTGTATTTGTTTATTTCTTAAGTAATTTTACTTTGTTTTTGAGAACATTTAAATATTTATTGATTTCATTGCATATTTGAAGTGCTATTTTATCACTATATTTGAATCCAATTTAGTCGAGGAAAATAGAATTTCAGCAGAAGTTATTGCTGTCTCAAAACGTGTAATTGTCAGTATCTTCTTCACTTGAATTTTCAATACTATATGCCTCTTCTGCTCTTGCAACATTTGAAACAATATCCACATTATTCAAACACTGAAAGCCTTAGTCAAATCATTATTGAACCATTCCTTAATGTTTTCCCAAGCAATATTTTCAAAGAATTATGCTTTTTCTACTTTTTTGCCACAGTCGTTTCCAGAAAACCATATCAACATAGCTGAATCTGAGGTTTCATGTATTGAGAATTTCGTGCTCATTGAGTTAGAAGGATCCACTGTACTCTAATAATCTCTTGTGAAATCTTGAATCTCATAATTTCTTTTTTTGTTTAACTGTGTCCCGAACAATATGTGCCCCAATCCCACATTCCTTTGCAAGCTTTATTGTTGAATCATGACGTTCAAATCTTTTGAATAATGCAAATTTTTGTTTTAATGTTAAAATAACTATTTTGCAGTAAGTATTTATAGCCTGTTCTTTATTCATTGCTTAGTTTTAAAATTCTAAATTAATTTTCGAAAGAAAAAAATATGCATAACAAAACAAAATCCCAGTGATCAAAAGAAATACCAAAATATGCAGGTGAGATAGAAGAGAAATTATAAAAGACAAAATACAAGGTAAAACTAGTACACAGATTTTTGATTTTCTTTTTGGTTTAGACATTTAGTGTCTTCTTGTTGAGAACAGACAAATATATACGCTCAAAAAAAAAAAAAAAAAAAAAAAAAAAAAAAAAGAGGAATTTAATGCATTTGAAGCCTATATGAGAAGATTTACTGGAATATTATTGCTTACAGGATATCATTCTTTACCTCAAGAAAAAATGTATTGGTCTTTTGATAAGGACATTTCTGATCCTGTTGTACGAGAATCGATATCACGTTTGTAGTACAGGAATATAAAGCAGAATTTGCATTTGACAATACTGATAAATTATATGAGGTGAGACCGTATCTAAACTTACTAAATATCACAACTTTTTACTACCGGAAATATAAAGTCTCTTTTAGATTTCAGATGCGAGAATGCATTATTCCTTTTGCAAACTCCTATTGAGAGTGTAGAATTAGCCAGAAATAAATCAGCAACAGGAAGACCTAGTAAATTCAGCATTCAAAAACCATTGCATGGAGATGGTAGACGTTTTATCGTAAAGTCCGTTGATAACAAAAGACTTTGTTGTAAAGAGCACCATAGCCAGACTGTTTACAGATGCAAAGTATGTAATGTAGCTTTACATCATGATTGTAATCAAGCTTTTCATGCTTGAATCTTTCAAATGAAATAATCTGTATTTGGAAAAGAAATACAATGTATATTTTAATATTAAAATAATTACAAGCAAAGTGATTTTGAGATTTATAAAACGTTATAGAGCTGAAAAGTAATCCTGCGCTCCACTCAAAAGAAACATGAAACGAATACAATCCTACTCACTAACCATCCGTAATCTTATTCCGCTGAGGTTGCGCGAACGCAAGACTCGCTTTTTCCACAAGTAAAAGCATTTTTTTAAATTTTCAATGTAAATTTATATTATAAATGCTTAATTTAATATTTGTTATTATTTTCATGAGAAAAGAAACATTCCTAGTAGCTTTGGCGGTTAATGAGTTAAAAATGCTTATTTTTTTCGATTCTAATTTTTTTTTGAATCGTAAAAGTCCTTATTTTCATCCAAAATCGGTAGATGGTCCTTAATTTTAATCATCTAAAATTTCGGTCTGTTTTGATGACTGCTGTTTTAAGTGTGAATTAGAATTTTGAAGGAATATTTTTAGCGATTCATTGACAAATATGATTATCATTTGAATTTGCTCCTATTTCGAATATAAATGTTGTGATACTCGAGTTTGTAGGCAAGAAACATAAGAATTTTCTAAGTTTTTTCTTTTTTCTATTGAAGAGCTCTTAAAGAATTTTTCCTTTTTTATGGGAGTGAATTTCTTTATTAAAAGGCTGTAAATTTGGCTACTTTCAGCATGTTGGCAATTTTAAGATAATTTCTGTACAAAATTTTTAATTCAGAAATCTGTAAATTTTTGGACACTTTTGTTTAGAACATTGTAATATTGATAAATCTTGTTAAATTAATGGTAATACAGTAAAAAGTCATTAATCTGGACTCGTCAGGACTTCGGCGATTCCGGATTATTGATTTTTCCGGATTATAGATCATCAGTTTAAATCTGGTAAGATGGCATGCAGAAATTATAAAATTAAAAATATGAAACCGTAGTTTATGAAATAAAGAACAATTATGATCTAAAGGGTATCAAAATTTACAAAAAAAAAAGTTTAATATTTATTTGTTTACTTTATTAAACATTTCTTTCAGTTTAAGTTGCTTCGTTTTTTTATGTGATAATACATTCTCTTTAATTCTATAAACAGACAAATTTCTTGTTCATTTACAAAGTTCCGCTGTTCAAGTCCTATAATTCTGTGTCGAGAATACCGACTAATTTGTCAATCGAAATTTTTTTCGTTTTCTATAAACTCTGTCACTTTCTCGCTATCGGGAAGCGAATTATAATGACGAGGAATTTGATTTAAATCATATCAAAGACGGAGTACATCGAGATGAAAGTACTACATTTAGTAAGGAATTATAAGCCAAATAAAATAAAAACATCTGCCTCTGAAGATAAGGATAGTGCTGACAGATCAACTTCCAATTCATTGCGCGCTGCGGTGTTAAAGATAAACAAAGGATATGCCTTTATCCATTTTTTGCAGCAATTCCACTTTTTGTTTAATGGACTTCGAAACATACTTTCGCTTTATAGATCCTCTACATATTAGTAAATATATATCAGAAATTCTATTTGACATAATCGAAAGTTCAAGCTTACTTTTATAAAATTGCTCTAACAGTCTACAAAAAATAATAAGCCGAATCCAATTCGAAGATTAAGGAACAATGCAATCTGCAACATTAACTGAATTAGATAATTTTAGCTTAGCTTATACCGACCGTTATACATTAAACGCGCATTCGTAAACTTATTTTGCGCATGCGCATATTTGCAGCTGTAAAGGTCTTACGCGCATGCGTCACCGTGGCGCATGCGCAGAAAGTTTGTAGCTTTGAGGTCCGGATTATAGATCATTCCAGATTATGAGTGTCCGAATTAACAACTTTTGACTGTACATTTAAACTGTATTTGAGGAATAACAAAAATCTAAAAGTCCCAAAATTCTAAAATGAAGAAGAAACTGAATGCTTAAAGAAAATTATTCTTTAAAGATACGTACAGTTATTATTCTGTAAATTAACTCGTTAACACCCAGATTATTTAAAAAAAAAGAATTTTTGAAAAATTCTTTTAAATGACATTTCATATAATCATAATTAAAGTAATTATGAAGTTTTTTCAGTTACTGTAATTAGCAGTTTAGATAATAGGTGATATAAATAGATTGCTGGGTGCTTCTGGTAATAAAAGAACAAGTAACTGCCCTCTGATCTTATGTTTAAAAAATTATGTTTTTTTTTTTTAAATATGAATCTTTTGTAAAGTTAAAACCAACTAAAAAGATTTAAAAGAAAAAAAATGTTATTTTACTAATCTTAACTTTCTTAATTATATTTTTATTGAGCAAATTTGCAATAATTAAGTGTGATTATAGCGGAAAACATTTCATGCAAAGTGTTCCATCGCATTTAATACAAAACATAGTAGGACCTCCTGTACATTTTTTTATACTTTTTTTCACTTCTCGTGTTCCAAGCGGTTCATTCGAAGTTTCAGGAGTATTGTCAAAATTCTTCGCATCACAGTATAACTCAAAATTATAACAGTAGTCTTTACTCCACACATGCCCCATGATTTATAACAAAAACGTACGGGTTTGCCTTTAAGAAATTGTTTGAAAAAATGATGACTGTAAGATCTAATCATCATTTATCATCAACACACAGAAATTTATCAAAAATTCCAAATTTTTGAAAACTGACTTATATGTGTGATAAATTTTCTTATTTTGAATGCCCAGTCTGATTTTTGCATTGCTGTGTTATTATTATTTGCAAAATGGATTATAGATTTAGTTTCTAAATATTTATTTAGAGACATTGCATTTTTTACTATCTGTACCGTGAGATCTTCCCTCTAAC